CTCCTCATAGAGACTTGGGGACGAAGGTGAGGAGGCTTCATCCCACAGCCTTCGAGCTTGTTCCTAGGAGATGCTCATCTTTGGAGGACATCGTGCTTGGAAAGCTGGAGGGTCAGCAAAGGAAGGGAAGACCCTCAAGCAGGTGCATTGACACAGTGACCGCAGCAATGGGCTTGAGTGTGTCGGAGGGCACAGGATGGGACAGGGTCCAGACCAGTTGTTCGTAGGGTCACTAGGAGTCATACAAGGGCATCTAACAACAACAGCAGCTGCTTAGAAGCAAGGTGCAGGTCTCTAATGCTGTAGCAGACCATGAGAAGAGGTCCAGGAGGTGGACACTGGGCAGTATACTTGGGCGTACTGTCACAGTGCCCGTATTTACCGCTCACCCAATTCTGAGAACCCCATCTGTCTCTGCACAGATGTGGCATTCCGGTGGGTGTCGGGGGATCAGTGCTGGGGAGGGGCTTCTCTGTGACTGTCCTCCCCATGGCCTTGGTCCGGCCAGGCCCACAGTTCCTGTGACCACCTGCTGGCTCCTGGACCCCGGCAGTGTCATCTCAGAGATGCTGGGACCTTCCGACCTCCTGTCCCTTCCAGCCACCGCTCAGTGCTCTAGTCCCATCAGGTCACGTTGTGGGGCTCATCCCTAAAGGCAAGGGAAGTAGCTAATCCTGCTGTCCCCTCAACAGGCGTTCTGTGGGCAGAGATGTGGGGTTTTCATGGTTCCTCTAGAAAATTCACAGTAGTGCCTCTTGCTGATTCTCTGTCCTTCTTTCTGTTCATGCTCAACTAAATTGCCGATGTCGTCTCATTCCAGCACTGAAGAGGATATGGTCCCATCCCATCCTAAAAACGACTCCTTCTGAGTCTGCGCCGTGACCCACCGGTCTGCCCTCTGGTCCCTTTTTGGGGCGTTTGAGTTTACTGAGTGGGTGCAGCTTTCACATGTTTAAATTGTTCTTTTTCGGCCTCATATTTTAAAATACCAGTTGTTGTTGTTACTGTGTACTATTGAGTCAGAACTGACCCCCAGCTGACCCTCCCGTGGGTTTTCACGGGCAGGCCATCCCACAGAGGACGCTGTCCACCTTTCTCCCACGGAGCCGCTGGGGGACTCAAACCTCCTGCCTTTGCAGTTCCTTACCGGTAAGCCAGCAGACCTTGTACAGCCTGATACTAGTCTTCGTGTGACAGAGACGCTGGGGGTTGAGGTCTTAGAGCCCCGTCTGTCCCAGCCTCGTTTGAGACCTCGCACCTGTGTGTGTGATGGGATGGTCTGGCCACGTCTGTACTCTTCTACTCAATTCCGTTCACATGTCCCCATTTGATTAGGACAGTGAGACCATGAGTCGAGGCTCTGACAAAGTCGTACGACCGGGGCACTCAGGTTTGGACTGGGGCACTCAGGTTTGGAGCTGGTTTACACTTTGCTCTCTCAAGTGACCACATGCTTCACTCTCTGCTCCCGAGAGGGTTTGCTGAGCCCACCAATGTGGCCTGGAGTCTGAGGCACAATGACCCCACAGATCACAGAGGACCCACCCCCTTAGAGCTTCTGAGACTGGAAGTTCTGATGAAATGCTCTGCTTCTCTCCAGTCCTTCCTGGGCCAGCTTGTGAGTCCTGTGGACAGCCAAGTGTTTGACCGCTGTGCCACCAGGACTCCTGAGAGGCTCAGTTGCAGAGCGGAACATAAAACCCACAGAAGCTGTCCAGGTTGGCCCAATCACCGTCATGCACCAGAGAAAGCTACGGATTCCTTGGTTTTCTCACATCTGAATTTCATTCAATAAATAGGGACAAACTAAAAAATTAATTTCAGATTTGTATCAACAGCCAGGAAATTAAAAGATGAATTGCACTGGGAAAGTCTGCTGTCAGAGTCCTCTCCAAGGTACTGAAGAGCAACGATGTCAGGCTGGAGACTAAGGTGCACCTGACACAGGCCATGGTCTTTGCAGTCACTTGCTATGCACCAGAGAGTTGGACAATAATTAGGGATGACAGAAGGAGAGTTGATGCCTTTGAGCTGTGGTGTTGGAGAAGAGTATTGAATATACCATGAACTTCTAGGAGAACAAACAAATTTATCCTGGAGAGGGTGAAGCCAGGCTGCTCCTTAGTGGCAAGGGTTCTGAAGCTTCATCTGGACATAATTTAGACATGGTGCAAGGTGGGATCAGTCCTTGGAGAGGGTTGTCAGTCTTGGGAGGGTGGAGGGACAGCGCAGGAGAAGAAGACCCTCTATGAGGTGGACTAATTCAGTGACTAGGGTAACGGGATGGGTGTGTCAGAGACAATAAGATTGGCATGGGATAGAGCAGGATTTAGGGTTGTTGTTCATAGGGTCACTGTGAGTCATAGGCGACTTGACAGCACTTAACAACAACACCGCAGATGCTTAACCAGACGCTGTGTATCTGGTGGCTTCTATGTGTCTCGGGAGTGCAGTGAGAAGGCACGTCCCTGGTGAATTTCTGGGCAGACCTGGAGAGGCCTGGACGTTGCCCTCCCTGGTGGAGCCGCCGTCTCAGTTGATGGGGAGGAGTGCTGTGTGGTGTGGCGTGGTGTGGTGTGTGTACCCCACAGAGAACCCTGAGCCCTCACTCCTGCCCCCACAGCCAGCACCTCAGCAGAGGGACAGTCCCACCTCCTGTCCCGTTACGTTGAGTGGACAAGCCATCACCTCTGGTCTTCAGGGCCAGCTTTGCAGCACACGCGTGGTTTGCCTGAAGCAACCTTTCCCAGCCCCTGGTTCTGCGTCGTAAGGCGGTCTGCTGCCGACCTGCAGGGCCCGTGGCTGAATCCACCATCCGCTCTGCCGGGGAGACAGGGTCAGTGTCCTCTCATGCAGCAGCCTCTCAGAACCCCGTAGAGGGTCACTAGGGGTCGGTTCCTACTTGATGTGCACAAAACAATATGACCTAATTGTTGAGGAGTTAGGCTTCCAACCCGAAGGTGAGTGGTTCCAGTCCATCAGCTGCTCCATGAGAAGATGGGCATTTCCTCCCAGTCACCTTCCAGCCTCCGAAAACCCGAGGGAGGGTCAGCTGGGAGTCACTTCTGACATCACAGCGCCTGACGTGAGCCTCTGTGCTGGAAAGGTGGAGGGTCAGAGCACGAGAGGGCCCTCCGCAGGATGGACGGACACACGGACTGTGCCAGCGGGCTTAAGTGATGAGAGACCACGAAGTGGAGAGACACACGGATGGTGCCAGCGGGCTCGAGCGATGAGAGAGGACGAGGTAGACAGACTCACGGATGGTGCCAGCAGGCTCGAGCGGATGAGAGATGAAGACAGTGGATGGACACACGGACGGTACCAGCGGGCTCAAGCAGATGAGAGAGGACGAGGTGGACAGACTTACAGACAGTACCAGTGGGCTCAAGCAGTTGAGAGAGGATGAGGTGGACAGACACACGGACGGTACCAGCGGGCTCGAGCGGATGAGAGATGAAGACAGTGGACAGACACACGGACGATGCCAACGGGCTCGAGTGGATCAGAGAGGGCAAGATAGATGGACACACAGACAGTGCCAGCGGGCTCAAGCAGATGAGAGATGAAGACGGTGGAGCAGGACACACGGACGACGGAGCAGGACAGGGCTCGGGTCTGCCATTCGCGGGGTGGCTGCGGTCATCGTCCACCGACGGCGCCTGAGGCCACAGCTTTTCCCGCAGAACCTCGAGGTTCATTCATTCCATCTTCCTCTGACGCATCTTTAATTCTGACAGATTTTATCAGATGGTCCTAGGCAGCGATTGGGCCCTTTGAAAGTCTTTTAATAATTAATTTTTAATTTTCTAAGTTATAAATT